CAGGGTCTCCCTGTAGCTGCAGCTGGCCTGGAGTTCGCTATGTAGACCAGGCTGGCCTCAATCTCATAGAGATCTGCTTCCAAGTGCTGGGATTACAGGCATGTGCCACCATGCCTGGCTTCTTACACAAATTTAGAAAGCATTTTAGTAGTTCACTTGGGGCCAACACTGAAATATTTTATAAATCCTTTCAGCAGACATTAGAACAGAAGAAGAGAGACGCTCCAAGGCTAAAACATTCAACTCTGATGAATCTATTCAGTCTTGCAATTGGAGGATTTGGAAAGAAGGATTTTAACTTCAAAGTATGTATTTTTCTTTTACAATTAGCCTCTTTATTTAAAAATTTAGGTGGGTTTACTACAATCTCAGTAATGAAGGTATCCAAAATTCTTAATCCAGTCTTGATAGTAGGCTCACTAAAGTAATAGAAAACAGAATTAGTCTTTGCTTTCCAGTGCTCCTTGATGATGATGATTTTAATTGTATATATTTATGTAAATTAGAATGGCTATTATGGGGAGGTACCTCAGAGAACTAAAAGTGGTGAAGATCCAGCTATTCCACTCCTGAGTTAGAGGCAAAGCAAATGCAATCAGCATATCAAAGGGATACCTGCATTTTCATGTTTATTCTATGTTCATTTAAAAATTGACATATAATCTATGAAATCATGTGCATAGTACCTTTTAAAGTTAGCAATCGAAAGAGAGGAAACACTCCCTAACTCACCTGTGACTTCTATGTCCCCAAATCAACTACATTCAACTCCTTAACTTTTTTGTATTTTTTTTCTATATCATATGCCTATACAACTATTTTTAACTTCCTATTCTTCACTAGGTATGATCTTTCTACTATGCATGGAAAGTCTGAATTTTGTTCTTTCTTTCCCGATTCCATCTCCCTCCCTCCCTCCTCTCTCTCTCTTCCCTTCCCCTATCTTTCCAATATAGTTATATCACAATTCTTAAATAATTAAATCTTTAAATTATGATTATGTAAATACTAAACACACAATGTATATAGACGACATTTCCTTTCTAAGTAATTTTTCCAGGAGTTAATAATTGCCTTGATATATTTACATTTCTTAGTTTTCTGATTGCTTCTCTCTAATCCATCCACTGAAAACTCCTCTCATTATGATCAATTTAAGTAAGGTTATCCATTATGTCCACATCTCCCTGAGATATACCCATCCATCCCTGCAGTCTTCTGTCCTAGTCTAAGTTTAAATGGCTTGCTATCCAGGCCTGTCACTCAGATGTCATCCAGTGGCCTCCCTTTATATCATGCTGGGACACCCTTATCTTCTCTCCTGTGCTGAATACTTATTACTAAAGCTCATTATTTACTCTTTCTTGACTTACTATCTTTTTACATAACATAATTTTAGGAACTTTCTTAGGCAAGTTATGAGAAATACATATTTTAAAACAATATTTTTATAGAGTCTTTGAAATTTTCATATCTGTTTTGATCGTACTCAGGCCCCCTCTCCTCTCAGATCCACTCCCATCTTCCTACTCCTACCCCATTTCATGTCTAGTTTTTTAAAAGGCCTATGAAGTCTAATTTGTGTCCATCAAATACTCTTGGGTACAGGTCCCTCCCCTGGAGCCTGGCCAACCTACCCAGCATCATACCCTTAAAGAAAACTGAGTCTCCCTCCCCCAGCAGCTATCAATTGCCAACAGTTCTTCAGCTAGGGCTGGGGCCTCCTGACCACCTCCCCTTCTGCACTGGGTTTTTGTCTGGCTTGGGCTTGTGTAGGTCTTGTACATATTATCATAGGTTCTATGGGTTCATGTGTGTAACTGCCCTATTGTGTCTGGAAAACCTGGTTTCTTTGCATTCATCCACCACCTCTGGCTCTTACGGTCTTTCCGCCCCCTCTTCTGCAATGATCCCCTTAGGAGGAGAGGGTGTGATATGGATGTCACGTTTAGGGCCGAGCACTCAGTAATCTCCTGTTCTCTGCACGTTGACCAGTCGTGGGTTTCTTTGAGTGAGCGTGCTACTCACTATCGTGTTTGAGACTGAATGCTTGAAATTGCTTCTGTTCTCTCACACTCGATTAACGATGGATCAGATAGATTTTTTAAAAATATACTTGGTTTATATGTGGTTAGAAAGATAAGAAAAATTTGAGTTTCAAATTTTATTACTTTCTAGCTTCCAGTATTATTGAAAAATAAGACAACATTTTTCCTGATATTTTGTAAACAATCTGTCTTATTTTCTCTAGATATTTTTCTTTCTCTCATCAACTTCTGTTCTTCCCTGGATTTTCCATTAATTAGATGCTAAATCACCTTAGTTTATTTTTTCTTATTGTTTATTTCATTCTGGAAATGTATCTCCCACACCTTCTACTAAATTTTTCCTTCCTGCTATTGAATTGTAATTTTAATAGCTTTTTCTTATTTTCTGGATAATTCTTTCTGTTTGTTTCTTCAAGGTAAGGTTCTTCAGTAACTTTTAAGATTTAATAAAAGGGTGGGATGTTTTTGAAGTTTTCCTCCTTACATTGTTTGTATCCTGGGTCTCTTTTGACTTTTCCCCTGTGTGTTATGCCTTCCATCTGGCTCCATCTGGTTATGTGTTCATACCTGAATGCTAACCATTAAAAGCCCTGTTAAGCTCTTTCTGTAGATTCAGGATTATTATCTGGTAGGGCTCATCTTTGCTATTTCGTTGGTAGAATATCAATTTTCATAGGACTCTTAGGCTGGTAAATGTTCTCGGAGAGTCATCGTTGGAGCAGATCTATGCTGCTCTGCCAGTATTTGGGAGGACTGGGTGTGTCAAGGAGTGTCCGGAGATTTTATCACTCAACATTCAGATTTTCACCTCCTCTTTCTGTTTTCATCCCATGAATGATGAAGTGAACTGATATGTGTCCTTGGTAACCCTAAATCCAGCACTTCTGTCACTTAACATCCTTTCTAAATCAAACCTAGTGCTTTGTGCCTTAATTGTGGAAAGGAGTCTCCTGGTGGTGTTAGTGGAAAAAAGGGGAGTTTGGGTCCATTGTGGCTCATTCACACTGTCAAGTGATCTTCTATTTAATCTTCACTCGCGCCCTGCTCTCAGAAGTGTCTTTATGAGGTTCAAGAGGTCTAGTTGGCTTGCTTCTCGTTACCGAGCTCTTCTCCCCTCTTCCTTCCCACATACATTTTAAGTATTCACATGCACATTTTCTCATTTTCTAAGTCAGTTCCATTCATCTGCCTGCTTTCTGGCCTCTCAAATTCAGTAGCATCTTTCTTTCCCTTTTCTCCTGTAGGTTTGTCAGTTTTATTTCCTTACTGTCCATTTAGTGGGACTACAGGCAGAGATGAATGTGTATTCTGTTACAGCCTTTCAACATACATTTCTATAAATCATACAGTCTAGAAGGAAATTTAAATGTCACCTACCCAATGAACCTTAATTTTTTTTTTCCATGGAGTCTTTTCAAGACACCATTTTAGGTAGAAATCTAATTTTTAAAATAGATTAAGAGTGAAGCTATTTTGATTTCAGGTGGTAAACTAAAAGGATTTGCATCTAATTGTTCCTAAAAATAATGTAAAATCCTTGCTAAGGGCTGCTTCTTTACCAGATACAGTGTCAGTCTCTGGAAAAGCCGAGAGGAGCAATAGTGATACACCTTTGGACGCTGTGATGCTCAGTACATACCCCCTTGCCCAATACTGTCCAAGAAGACCACTTTGAAAATTCCTCATCTAATCTAGGGTTCAGAGAGGGAAAATTATTTGACCACAGGTAGCTTTCTTGGTATTCTAGCCCATCCCCAGGAGTGAGATATCCTTGACAAATACGACTAACGTGCAGTAACGAGAGTACAGGGTGATGGTCAAAAGGGGAAAAAAAACTAAAGTTGCAACTATGGCTTTGTGCATGAAAATGCAGTGCAGGCTAGGAAAAGGCTTAAAGCCCTGAACAGCAGAGGTGAGCATTGATCGCCCCGTGAAAGCTACAGATGGTGTAGACTGAACAGCGGGGTGAGCAATGCCCTGTGGAAGCTCCACTGTTGGTTCTGTTCTGCTATCTCCTCTAAAATACTGCTTTGTGTTTTGTTTGTTTGTTTGTTTGTTTGTTTGTTTGTTTTGGTCTTTTTGAGACAGGGTCTCCTTGTAGCCCCAAGCTGCTTTGGTTTTTATAAGAAAAATTTCTAAAATCAGCATTCACAAATTTGAAAAAAGCCAGCTGTTTTCATCTAGGATCTTTATGAATACTCTGTGTGGAAATATACTGTCTAGTGCTGAAAGTTATCACAGTTGGGCTTTCAGGATTTAAAAATCAGAGAAGCTAAGAAATAGGGTTTTATCCTTGAAGTGCAGCAATCCCATTTATCGAGGCTGACAATGCTAAAGAAATTTAAGCTTTGTTTTTCAGACCAAATCTCTCGCAATAGCTGACTGACCTTCAGAGTGACGGTGCTTTCGGCTTGACTGGATGCAGTCTGCTTCTGTAGGACCAGCTGGGTAAGGAGAGTCCTCTTCCAGGGACTCTAAATCTATTATGTTCTGCCAGGCCACTACTTGATCAAAAAGGACCACCAGATTTCATTGATTTCATCCTTGGAGCCTGAAGGTCTCTTGGAGACTGAAGAAATAAGCATTTCTTCCTCAAGTTTCTTAGCTGTTGTGTAACCCAATGTATATTGGCCTGAGCTTTAATCATACCGTCTAGAAGGAAATTTAGATGTCACCTACCCAATCAACCTTAATTTTTTTCCATGGAGTCTTTTCAAGACACCATTTTAGGTAGAAATCTAACTTTTAAAATAGATTAAGAGTGAAGCTATTTTGGTTTCAGGTGGTAAACTAAAAGGATTTGCATCTAATTGTTCCTAAAAATAATGTAAAATCCATTGAAAAATGAGGAAGTTGAGCATATCTGTAAGATTCCGTCCAGGCTTTCTACTTCTTGGATACTCCAAAAGAATTGGCAAATGTGAATAGAGTTTAGAATCTGAGGAAGCTTACCCAGAGAGGTGAAACCCAGGACGTTTTCCAAACACCGGACTAGTGTTTCAATATTGCTGTCCTGTCAAATCAAGAAAGATATATTCTCTTTGTGTAGTAGAAGGAGATTTAATGAAAGAGAAGCATGGTCCTGCCACATCTAATTAAAACAACAGACGCAAATACATTTACAAAATTTTACAATGTGATTTTTTAAAAAGAAAATTCCCTGTACACGTACGTACATCTACGTCTTTGTATGTATAAAGGTTTATATATTAACTTCTAGATGTCTTGCTCTGTCTCTCTGATGGGAAAAGCATACGCTAAAACTGTTAACAGTGAATTTAAAAAAATTGTTTTAGTTTATTTGTTACTGTTCATTTAGGGTCCTAGGGTTTCATGGCTGCTAGGCAAGGGTTCTACCACTGAGCTACATCCCCAGCCCTTAAAAGTGGTTTCAACCAAAAGATAAGTTTGTGAGTGCTCTGATTTTCTCCTTTGTTTTGTGTTTTTCAAATTTTCTATAATAACCAAATATTATCTTTAATCTTTGAAATAATAAATGCTATTAGAATGAAAAGTAAGACTGTATTTAATCAATAAATACAGCAGGACTCAAGGGAGGCATTTTTCTGCTTTTTATGAGAATGCGTAACCTTCAAGGAGTCATACATTGAAGAATTATTCTCCTCATTTACCTCAATCTCCAAGAAAAGTCAGCTATCACCCTTGAGGGCTGAGGGGGTTCCCTGAACTACACTTGATAACAAATGTTGTCTTTGGTGCAAAATAAATATCCATCCTCTACCCAGCAGTCTGTAAGTAATCTAACATAGCATCTTAATGACCTGAGGAAGTGGAACCTCTTAATTATTTTCAGGTTTGTAGCCACAAACATTGAGGAAGATTAATCGTGGATTACCTGCTCCATTTCAAACCAAGCATCACATTTCATATTGCAGGAAGTGTCTGTGAGTTTTAGGATAATGTACAATACTGTGACAGGCTACTTTAATGCATTTCATAATTACGGTGGATCTCATCACACTTTCCCAAGTTTGTGCAACTACTTAAAAATTTTAAAAGTATTTTTATTAATTCTTTGAAAACTTCAGTGTATTTTGATCATATTCCTCCCTCCCCCAAGTCCTCCCAGTCCCACGTCCCTAGCCACTCATAAAGTGGACAGCTACTTTTTATGCATGTTGAAAGCCCAGAATCATTTTGTGCTCAGAATATAAGAAGAGGCAATGGGGAGGAGGGCTTTCCTGCTCAGTGCTGATCAGTGAGGTCCGAATAAAGACCCCTGATTTGGCCCAGGAATAGGGAGGTAGGTGCCAGACACAGAGACCAAAGAAGGCAACACAGAGCCTTTCTTCTGTATCCCTAGATTCTTCAAATTTACAGGGATAGTCAGAGAGACTCTCCAGAGAGCCATCTTCTCCCAGAGGAAGCCCCATCTGCATAAGCACCTGATCACACCAAACAAAGGAATCCAGGTGGTTCTAAGCCTGGCTCGTCCACTGTATGTGCTGGCCTGGGCCAGAGCTTGACTTTTCAGCTCTTAGTTTTTGTATCTGTAGAAATTCAGAGTTTTCTTAGTCCGGCTGGGCTGCTATAACAAAATACCATGAGCTGAGTAGCATAGAAACAATAGGAATCTATTTCTCATGACTGAGGACGCTGGGAAGCCCAAGATCAAGGAACTATTTGATTTGGTTTCTAGTGAGGTCCCATTTTCTGGTTCATAGATGGCATCTTGTTATGTGCTCACAGAACGAGTAGAACAAACAGAAGCATGCGGGACCTCTGCTCTCTTTCCTTTATGCCTCTGTAGACTTGTGGACTCAGAGGTCACAGGCAGTGACAGAGCTGAATTTACATTCCTAACAAGGGCAAGTCATTTTCTACTTCTAAACTGAAAGTAGGGTATAAAGACCAATAGTGTAAATTATATGTATTTAAACTTTGTGGAAATTTGGAAATAATTTCAGACTTACAGAAATGTTTCAAAGTCTGTGAAAAAAAATACCCAGGTGTTCTTCACCCCAAAGTCAGTGCTTTCTTTTGTGTACTTTATCATCCCCCATGTATCGATTCATAATGGCAATTCTCAACCTTAAGCCCTACTGATATCTGGGGCCAGACAATTCTAATGTACTGTCGGATGTTTAGCTAAGGAAAGGTAACCTACTCATTCTGTGTATTCCAGAAATTATCATTTATCTGAACACAACTTTCCCTGGGAGAAGGACACAGCAGTGAAACCCAGCTTTTCTGTGGCTTCCTATACCATGTCTGCGCGTAAGCAGAGGTGTAGTCTTGGGGAACATCTGCCATGGCTCATACAATGTGGAGATTGTGCTGTTGATGGAAAATTTTGTACTTCCTTATTGTTTCACAGTTTAAATTGAGTTTTGGTGGATCCAGGTGGCCTGAGAAAACCACCACATCTCCACGGTTGCCAAATTACAGTGCCGCCAGCCTTCAGTCACCTCAGCCAAGGAGTTGGAAGAGTCTTTCTAAAGTAAAGCTCTGGAAAGCAAAATGGCTCCTTTGCTGATGAATTTAGATGCTCTTCAAGCCTCCTTTTCCTAGAGCTATCAACCTTTCCATAAAAGCAAAGTGCCTTTGAGGTATGAAGAGCATCTTGTAAGGTTCAATTCTGAAACACTTCCATGGATTTAAATGCACGGACTTTCTTTTTCAGAACACGTGGCTAATGAATGAGCTGGCCCTTTGCAGTCGGTATAGTCAGACTAATAATCACATAGTAGCTCTCCATGCCTGCCCAGAAGCCACAGAAAAAGATGTGGTACCTGGAGCAATCTTTACTGTTAAAAAATATTTATCTATATTTTGTCTAAAAATGTAGAAAATCATTAAAGAAAATACATATCATTCCCAATCCTACTATTATTAATACACACACACACACACACACACACACAGAGCCTTTTCTACATAGATCTAGCTTTTAGATATTCAAGATTTTATTGTAAATGTATGTGTGGTGTTAATATGCTTACCTTTTAGATAGTTGAAATATACTATAATGGCATATGTGTGCATCCATAGCAACATGGATTTTGCTTGGACTTTTATCCTACACTGTTAAAAATTATAATAGTTGAACAATATTATATTGTAAAATCTGTCATATGTATTCATCCATATCCCCATCACTGGGCATAAAGTTGTTTCTGTTTATTTAAATAATTGTGTTGTAAGTAGCATTGTAATGACTATCATACAGATCTTTACTTCATGCTTATTATTTCTCTGGGTTAATCACATGGCAGTTCCAGATTAATGAGAATGAACATTTAGAATACCCCATTGCTTCATTCTTCTCCTCTTTCTGCTCCCCATGCCCAAATTGTGTGTTTTGTCTGCAATAAGCTACAATACTGCCATACTTTAAAAAGTTCTATTTATTCTTCACTGGAATCTTCTTTCTCTTAAGATAAGATAAATCCATTAAAGACAAAATTTATGAAAAGTTACATGCATTATCTGTCTTAGGGTATTTGTGTTTCATAAGGGATATAACCTCATCTCAGAGGAATGAATTTCTAATAGGAAAAGTTTAATGGGGCTGGAATGATGGCTTAGTAAAGTACACTCCAGGCAAGCAAGAAGACCTGCAATCAGCTCCCCTGTGTCCATGTAAAAGCCAGGAATGGTGAGGCACATATATAACCTTAGCACGAAGGAAAGGGGCAGAGACTGATGGATTCCTGGACCTCATTGGCTGGCCAGCCTAACCAAATCTATGCATTTCAGTTCCAATGACAGACCTTGTCTGAAAAAATAAGATAGAGAGAAGTTGAAAAAGACAACCAGCCTCTGCACATGTGCATCTACATAGGCATGTGCACACACATATAGCATTATCGTGCACACGCACATGCACACACACACACACAGCCTAGGCAACAATAAGTAAGATGTCAAAGGAGGGAGCCAGAGGGATTTCACAGCCTTTAGCTAGGCAATTCTGTTTGACATAATAAGCAAGATTATTTTTTACACTAGAACTATTAACATTCCGAACTGAGTAATGGAGTGGTACACTTAGGAAAAGGTGATCTTTTCTAGATACACAGGCGAGAATGCAGGAACCAAGCCTGGGATGACTGGCATCTCAGTCAACGCCCCTAGAGATTCACTGCTCTGGCAGCAGGAAAATCCCCTCAATTTCCCCTGCAAAATAGCTATCAGTGAGCAAACAAACAACAAATGCTGGGAAGAACCCCAGGAAGAGGAAATCCTGTACACTGCTGGTGGAATGCAAATTGCTCCAGCTACAGTGGAAATCATTACCAAGGTTTCTCAAAAACAAACAAACAAAACAAATAAAAAACCCAAACTAATGGCCGGGCGTAGTGGTGCACGCCTTTAATCTCAGCACTCAAGAGGCAGAGGCAGGTGGAGTTCTGTGACTTCAAGGCCAGCCTAGTCTACATAGTGAGTTCCAGGACAGCTGGGGCTACAGGGAGACACTGTCTCAAAAAGATACCCCCCCAAAACAAACCCAAACTAAAAATAGAACTACCATATGACCTAGCTATACCACTTCTGGGTATATACCTGAACTACAACAAGTCAATATTTCACACACGATGGCAGAATTTAGGGGAGGGGCGAATGTAGTCAAAGTGCATGATACACATCAAATAACTGTCTATATGAAATCCAAAACTATGTACAACAGATACACACACCACACATGCACACACACACATCATGCATGCCACACATACATCACATATACCACTCACACATCACACACACATCACTCACACCACCCACACATCACACATACCTCACATACACACATCATGCACATCACACACACCACACATACACACACATCACACACACACCCTCAACACTCCCCTGCAATGTTGGTTCTCCACTGTCAGGTAAGTGGAAGTATTGTAGAAGCCAAGTTGAGAAGTCAAGGCAAAAAGACTTTCTTTTTTAATGAAAAGCAAATAAGCCATGTCTTAACGACAAACAGAACTCTGCTTACTAATGCCCCTTTTTGAACTGGCCACCGTCTCTTCTCTGGAC